CGGGGCGCGGACAGGACCCCGGCGGCCTGAGCCCCCCGGGCCCCTCGGCCCCTGTGAGGCGGGTCAGGGACTGCCGGGTCTGTACCTGCAGACGGTGGAGGAACAGGGCAATAACCCGATTCCCGGGGCCTGGAACAGCAGCGGGAAGAGTTTGTTCCTGAAAGGTCAAGGAAGGACTCGGTCCAGGCCGATGATGAGTGCTCACACCGGGGTCACACACAGGTTTCCCCAGGGGTGGCTGCCCTGAGCTCTGGCACTGGGGGCCCAGAGCAGCCCCTGCACCTCGCTCGTGGCGTCACTGGGGTTAATTCCTCACTTTAAAGTCTCTCAGTAACCACATTTGTGCAGGGCAGCCCTCCCGCTCTGCAGCCTGTGCTGCTGCTCCGTGCCCAGCCGTGGGGCTCGGGACGTGCACACGAGTCTGGTAACTCTTTGTTTCTCCCCCCAGCCTGCAGCCCTGCTCTCCAGGCAGCCAGGGGCTATGCCAGACCTGTGACAAGGAGGAGGAAAGGTAGGTCAGGACCCACAGGACCACGGGGCCAAGTGCTGTGCTGTTGACGTGCTCAGAGTTGTACCCCCACGGCACAGAAATCATTCCAGAAATGATTCCTTGCTCAGAAGTCACCCAGAAGATTCAGCAGCTCCTGAATGTGGGAAAATCAGTGATTGTCAGTAGTGGGAGCTCTGTGAGGGTGGTGAGGCCCTGGCACAGGTTGCCCAGAGAAGCTGTGGCTGGCCCCTGGAAGTGTCCAAGGCCAGGTTGGACGAGGTTTGGAGCAACCTGGGCTGGTGGAAGGTGTCCCTGCCCAGGGCAGGGGGTGGCACTGGATAATCTCCTTTCCAACCCAAACCATGCTGGGATCTCTGAGCTCAGTGGACTCTGTAAATCCACGTACAGCACGCTGTAAGTCCAGAGTGCTGAAGGGAAGAGGCTGAACCTGTTTTATTCCCTCAATTCCTGCCAGCTTGGCTGGATCTGTTCAGTTCTCCTGTCTTGTTTGGAGCACAGTTTCCTCTGCAGCATTTTTCCTCTGATCCAGTTTGCCAGCTCAGAGCTCTGGCTCTGTCCTGCTCTTCCTCAGACGTTTGCCTCCTCTTTGTAGACATCCCCAGCCAGCTGGATGACCTCCCTCCCACCATGCTGAAGAAGGATTATGCCAATCTCCCAGTAATGAACAGGTATGACACGGGGAGAGGGAATGGCTGTTCTCTCCAGAGCTTTGTGTCTTACACAGAACCACATGTGGATGCAGTCACCTGCTCAGTAATTAACTAATTAATGCTCTGTGGGCACAAAAATCGCAAAGTCAGTTTGAAAGTCAAATTACAGACACAGTCAGTGGTTAGGGCTGTGGGAGGTCTTTGTTTACTCCCTGTGAGAGTAGTACTCTACTCCATTGTAGAGTAAATTAAAGTTGAGGAAAGGGAGTATGTTCTGAAAACCTGAGCTCATTTCTTTTGCTATATAGACTTGATTGTAGCTTATAAACTGATCTGCTGTCTCCTTGCAGCGTGGATGATGTAGTGAGAAGGATGTTGTCCCTGGAAATGGCAAGTCAGGTCAGTGTCATTCTGCTTGGGGGAAAAAAATAGATGTAGTGAGCACATTTGTGTGAGACCTGTCTGTGTTGTTAAATACCTTTCAGTTACTGTATTTTTAAGTGACTGCACATCTGGGGTGATTAAATACATGAGATTGATAATTCTTGTGCGCTTCTAGAATTTACCCCACAGTCTTCTTTGGGATAATAATTGCACATTAAAATGAGAGAAGAAAGTATTCAGCAGTCCTGGGGTGATGAGCTGTGTTCTGTTGCTGCCTGTGGTTGGCCTCCTGTGTTCTAGAAACCAGTGCACTGGACAGCAGATGTTCTTCGAGCTATTTTTACTTTTGTATGCCCAGAAAACAAACAGATAATAAAGTGGCACAGAGATCTCGCCGCTCCTTGCTGGTTGTCACTTCAGCTTAAAAGGATGTAAAACCACTGAGTAAAGCTCTTAAATGCAAAGCCTTTACCTGTGTGTTTGTGGAGGGAGCTGGTGTCTCTGACCTTTAGTGTTCCTGAGAGAGTGACAAGCTCTTTCCTGTGACCCACAGAAGGAGAAGATGAAAATCAAGACGCAGCAGCTGGTGGAGAAGGTCAGGAGGTCTCCCAGCGACAACGGCTCCTTTGAGGTGCAAGGCAAGTTTAACAGGGAAGGATATTGTTGGCAGATGAAACACCTCTGCCTTTATTCAGCTGTTGCCACCCCAGCACTTCCAGTTGGCTGTATAATTTAGGAGAATCTCCTCCAGGAGAGCACTCAAGAGGCAGGATGCCCTGGGGAGCTGCTCCGGGTGTGGGAGCATTGCAGAGGCAGTGGATGCTCTGGCAGAGGCTGCTGGGGTGCTTCCAAATTCCTGCTCCACATCCACCCTCCAAAGGCAGTGTGTGCATTATTCTGCTTGGAGTGCCCCTGGGACAGGAAGCACTGAGCTGCATCTGTTACCAGAATGAACCAGATTTAGCCATGGAACTCAAATTTCCCTTTGCATTGGAGAGCTGTGGCTGAAGCACAGTGTGGGGACAGTGCAGGGACAAAGGCCACGCTGCACTGACCAAGATGCACTTCCTCATCATCAGTAAAGCCCTTCAGTTCCTCAGGGTGCCACCAGCAGCTCCCTCCAGAGCCCGAAATCCCAAAGAGCTGGCCTGGTGCTCTTGTTAAAAAAACACCTTTATTGCTTTCTGTTCCTCCAGAGCTCGAGCCACATGAGGTGAAATGAATGTAAAATCACTGGGAATTGAGTGCAAGAGGAATTTCACAGATAAAATTTTTATGATCTGTTGTTAAAATTTTCCCTTCTAACTGAGCAGCCTCAACAGTTACAGCTCTGCAGGTTGTGTGCTGTGCTTTGGTGGGCAGTGTCTGCCGTGGTGCTGTGGGTCCCTCAGGAGCAGCAGTGCTCAGCTGGCAGCTTCAGGGAGGGCGGAGGATCCTGGATCACCTGGGAAGGCTGCTGCTCTCACTCAGCTCACTCTGTTCTTCGCAGTTGCAATTCTGACTGCCAGGATCCGCATGTTCGAGGAGCACCTCCAGAGGCACCCCAAGGTAACTCGGGGATCTGAGCCCACACCCAGCAGCTGCTCGGGTGGTTTTCTTGGTTTAGAACAAAAGGACTTTAATTTCAGGGATTGTGGCTTTCCTAAGGAGGTTTATGAAATGGTTCCAGCTGTTCCCTGGTGCCAGTGTGGGGAGCTGGCATGGAGGGTGTTCAGGTTTGTTACTGCTGGAGGAAATGGCTGAGCAGAGTCCTTTGGGCAGAGTTGAGCTCCACTTCTCCCTGCAGATGTGGCTTCACTGCTTAGTTTTCACTAATTATTGTGTCACTGCAGGAGCTGCAGTGAAAGACAAAGCGAAGTCTCTCCTGGTGCTGCTCATGGAAAGGTTTGGTGGGCAGGGCTGTGTGAATGTCCCAACAGCCACTTCCCTGCCTGCAGCTACCTGGGTTCGGGCCCAAATCTGAAACATCACAACTGAGTTAATCAATAAAAGTTACTAAAGGTTCTTTATGCAGGGCAAAAGGTGGGAAGTGGATTAACAAGTGTGTAATTGTTTGTTAATCGTGAAAACTGGAAGGGTAAAACAGAACAGAATTCAGATTTTATTACAAGCTAGAAGCTGTACCAAGTGTTCCAGCAAAGAGACCTTTTAGACTTCCTCTGCTGGAGCCTGTGCTTTACACAAATCACTCCTATAGGACAGGGAAATGTCTCCCATGAGGGGTTGCCCTGAGTGGTGTGGCTCAGCTGCACACATTCCCTTCCAGAGAACAACCAGACAGTCAGACAGAGCCAAGTCATGGGTTATTTTCCCATTTGATTTCTGGCCAAACGAAGGTAAATGCCTCTGTTATTCTGGAGCAGTACACTTCAGGGGCAGCAGGTTTTAGCCAGCAGACCTTCCCTGCAGCTTTTGCCACCACCTGAAACTGCACATAAGCTGAAAACAGAGTTCAGGGTCGGGGAGGAAGGGGAAGGTGCAGCCACAGAATGGAGAAAGCAATTCCAGTGCAAAGTAAATGAAATCTTCCTGGATCTCCCTGTGCTGACCCGACACACTCGCAGCACCTCAGACAAGCTGTTCTGAGGCCCTGTCCTTTACCCGGTCGTTCCCTTTCAGCCCCATCCCAGTCTGCCCTCGGTGATTTCTGGGGTGGCAGGGCAGTGCCCCTGCAGGCCCTGAGCCCCGGGTGCTTTGCAGGACAAGAACAACAAGCGGCGGATGCTGATGGACGTGGACAGGCGGAGGAAGCTGCTGGGGTACCTGCGGCGGGTGCGCTACGACACCTTCGAGAACACCTGCAAGCAGCTGGACATCCAGTACAGCCTCCCCCCGCCCTACACACGGCGCGTCACCAAGCGCTGGCTGGTGAAGAAGGCCTTCTGCATCAAGGTATGGAGCAGGGCAGCTGGGCTGGGAGAGCACCGCTGCAGAGGAGGGCACAGCTGGGACAGAAAGGGCTGACCTGACTGCCCAGTCCTAATCCAGGCTTTGGGTTTGATAACGACTGGAGGGAACTGCCTAAGCTCAGCCAAGAGCTCCCCGAGGGACGGGTTGTGTCATGGGCAGTGACACATGTGCTGTGTTCAGGCACTCCAGGTTGTGCTACTTGTTTGCTCAAAAGTGTATTTTTCAAACCAGCTGGTTTTTCCTCAAAGCCTGGTATGGGAATCGGTACAGGAGATAATTTTATGGCAGTTTGGAATCGGAATGTGGGTGCACCCATTGTCTGCTCTGAATACATGGGTGTAACTACTGCGTGCAGTAGATCTTGGTATAACTGAGCAGAACCAAAAGCTGGCTGTGCCTCGGGTCTGTAAATGCTCAAGTGGAATCAATGACACTGGATCCAAAGGACTGGAGCTAGCTGGATGTGGCACTCAGTGCTCTGGGGATTGGTCACAGGTTGGACTCTGTGATCTCAGAGGTCTTTTCCTACCTCTGTAACTCTGTTAGTGGAATAAGCCCGGATGATTCCCTGGAGCAGGGCTGGC